ACAATTCACTACTTGTTAGTGACCACGCTGGTCCTGAGTGAGCAGAGTCCCCGCACAGTGGGCACTGGGCACGGAGGTCACGCTTCCCACACTTACTTAAGCTCCTGAGAGTTAGCAGCCATGAGGGACTTAAGCGTCTTATCGGCTAAAGGACATCCAGAAACACTAAAAGGGGGTGAGAAAAACAAAAAACAAAACACAGAACACTGACATACACAAATCTGACTCAAATGGCATCCTGAGACTGTGAATATCTGTTAAATTTTCTGGTGACTGGGGATTGGAAAAAAAAATAATTAGGTTTGAATCTGGCTTTGTTACTCTAGCCAGGTTGGGCTCATGGACTCCTCAATTAGTTCTGATAAGAGTTGGGTTCGCTATTTATCAAATGAAGGGCTTTAACCCAGTGACACTCCGCAATTCTAGAATCCAGTGGTAGAATCATTACTGACAAGGAGTCCATGCCCACGGCATCACCAAAGGATGGCGGCTGACAGGTTCAAATCAGCACCCAAAGGGTAAGCAAATCATTGAAGGTGAGCGCGAAGATGAAGCAGAGCCCTTTGTCACTGTTACACCTTTAACACCTTGACCTGTTACATGCCCGGGACTGGGGATGCCACACCCACAGCTAAGTGGTCAACCCCAGTCACTCTGTTGTCTTACCTTCGTTTTACCTGAATCCTAAAGCTAGATACAACCAAAGGCCTGACATAAACTCTCACTTTGTAGCCTGGACTACAGGAGCAGAAAACCATTTTTAACCAAAATCATGATATCTATACTACATAAGTGAAAAAACTAAAGATTTAACTTAGCTTTATTTATGAAAAACAAACCACCACCACCACCACCACTACCACCACCCCCACACACAAACCAACTAACTTACGCTCTAATTTATGATCAAGATATCGTTCTAGAAAGGGCAAGAATTAGTATTTAAATCAGAACCAGATGACAAAACGAGGTACCTGCGATGGGATGCGTAGTTTCCGGTGACGTGGCCACTTCCATCACATCCTGGCGTTGGACAGCTGGACCAACAAAAAATCTATCATTAGCATCAAGTGCATTTTATTGCTTCACTTGCTTTGTCTGGTTCGTTATAAGGTAGCTTCTCTTTTCAAGGTCAGTTAACACAGTACATTGAACCTGCAGAAACTAGTGAACTAAGGATCTATGCTACAGAAGAACGAGTGGACTAGCGAAAAGAAAACTGGCGTGCTCTTATCAGCTCTCAGCATCACATCCAATTCTCTGATTCAAATAATGTAGGAAAGTGATGCTGAAATATATGTTCTAGTGATGATGTGAGTCAATAATCAGTGATGTTTTATTTCTTTGAAAATGTGGGTTATAAAAATAAATATTGTAAACCCATGCTTTGCAATGAAAGTGTCTCTTAGGAATACCATCACCAATTATATAACAGATTTTAGAAAGGAATTTTTGTTAGTTTTTAAGAGATCAGGCAACATAGTAATTTCATAAACATTTTTTAAATCATCTGAAAAAGAAAAAAATCTTTGAAAACTACATGTGACTGAAATGTAAATGACATTAATAGTTGACAAAGTTGCTAACAGTTCAGAAATAGGTAAGAAGTTTAGTTAAAAAGCTTGCAATCACTTTTATTCAAGTCTCAAACCCAACAAAGCAATTGCTAATTAAAAATAAAACTAAACAATAAGGCATCTGGCAAGATCAGAGAATTGATTTTATCTCAGAAGCTAGTCACATTCTGGGCCTCTTCTGTGTGCTTTGAAAATAAGCTAACAGGTGCATTATTCTGAGCAGTTCTGTGTCCAGCTATAGCATATGTAAAAAAGCAAAGAAAAAATGAACAATGACTAACATTTGAGCTGAGTTATCTTGCAAGTGACATTCTCCCCCCAAACGGAGAAGCAATCTTTTCTGAACATTATACAAATCGTATATCAGAGAGTGAAAGACGTGTTATAATGATCTGTTAATTCCCACTTTGGAAATACATCGCCACCTAGTGTTCAAAACAGCATTGCACTTACTTTATTTCTTATTTCTATTTTTAAATTACCACTGTTAATACTGCCGAGGATAGGTAAAGACGTACCAATAATTTTTAAACAAGTCAGCTATAAATACTTAGTAAACATAATAAGAAATTGTGCACTTATCTACTGAGTAATTTTCATGTTTGGTGGTATGAAGAGGTTAAACAAAAATAAAGAATTGGGGGCAGTGTTATAGTGGGAACCCTTATGTTTCAGATTCTGACAGCTGGCTTTAACTACAAATCTTCATTGAAAAATCCTACACAATAACATTTGCCAGTATGCTGAGAAGGTTTGCAAGTGGAAGGATCAAAATTAGAGAGAGGAAACTAGCTAGTTCCCTCAATAAGTGGCATTCCAACTCTAAGCAAATTTATGCTAATCAACAACATCAAAAAATCCTATTTCAAACAACTTTTGGGAAGTAATTGAGGTACATTTATTTATGTGTTAGAAACATAAAACATAAGACGGACAGGGTGGAACTGTAAAGTAGTGAGACTTTCACAAAATCAGAATGTCAACCCATAAATATAAGGGGTATCCCTAAAGCACTCACCTGTGAGTAAAGTGTGGTGAGTCCCATGAGGTCCCTAGAGATCATTTTCTAGGAATTCGTAAATATATTCCAAAAATTTGTTCAGCGTCTTTTAAAAGCCCTTCCTCGTTTGTTTACTTTTGTACCGGTAAAAAGTACCCATTAAAAAATAATCACACTTCATTTTTCTGACCTTTGAGAATGTGATGACAACGATGAACTGTCTTACCCACATAGCAATTTGCATTAAGTTCAGAAAGGTTTGGAGACACCGGAAGTCTTGAATTGGGTTTTTTGGAGTCGATGGATATCAGAGTAAGAATTTCTGATCAAAACATAAACATTTCTATTGGCTTTCTGTTGTTGTTTTTAAACAGACTTCTAATTCTCTTAGCATAAGGTCATGCCATGTAAATGGGTTGTGGTTTTTTTTGGTTTTGTTTTTGTTTTGGTTGTTGCTGTTCCTTTTTTTCTTCATAATCCTCTTAGTTCTGTGCATATGTTTAGGTCCATGTAGAATATCTAACTATTGGATGGTTGAAATTGCCCTAAAACATTCTTAAAATCAACTCTACAAGCCAAGATATTATTACTCAAAATATACGACCTTGAGTACCTTATTTCCAGAGTCTCGCAGAGTATGCCATGTTGGATCACTTACGTGATTAGTTCTTTTTTGAGATCTCTTGCATGGAGCTTGGGTTTAGGGCTTGGCATGGAGGCCTCTCCAGGAAACTTCTTTTCCTCTAAATTTTCTAGAGAGTTCACTGTGTCTTTCTAGAGAGAGAGAGAGAAAAAAAGGCAAAAAACAGAAGCACAGAGGGCATTAGGGAACCCTGGAAAGACAGCTGTATTTGAAGTCCTCAGGGTCAAATGTGAGTTTTGGCTTAAAGACTCAGCTGAAATTCCTCTAGGGTTTGTGCCCAAAACAAATAAGATAATGAGTATGAGGAATGAGAAATTATAATTCATGGGGATACCTTTAAAATTTTCACATTTTGGCAAATATAATTATAGAGGCGTTTGCTGAGCCAAATAATTAAGTTACTATTCTAATAGAGTTCAGGTTTTATTGTATGACGAACATTGCCGAGAGAACACAGGGCTAGTTCTTTATGCACACAGAAGTCATCGGTAAAACAGAAGAAATATTGCAAAAGTAAATCACAAAAAGTTTAAATCTGAAAAGGAATAAGTAAATTTAAGTTAACAGAATGTTCTTTCTAATATACAAATAACTAAGATTTAAATTACTTGATTAAATATATAATAACTGCCCTAGCTGGTTTGGCTCAGTAGTAGAGTGCTGGCCTTCGGACCAAAGGGTCCCGGGTTCGATTCCAGTCAAGGGCACATACCTCAGTTGCAGGTTCCAATCAGTCAGGGCCCTGATTGGGGTTTGTGCAGAAGGCAACCAATCGATGTGTTTTTTCACATCAATGTTTCTCTCTATCTTTCCCTCTCCTACCTTCCCTAAAAATCAATGGAACAAATATCCTCGGGTGAGGATTAACAAATAAATAAATAAATAATAACCAAGTCTACAATATCTAGGTATTTAGTTTGATTTTTCTGGATCATCGCTTTAATTATTGCAGCACTTCCTGTTTTTTCTTAAGTTACCTTAGTTACTTTTTTTTTTTTTTGCTAAATTGGTATGCTTTTACTTGTTGAATGGAATTTCTTGTTGAGTTATCTCTAATTTTCATGGCCTTCTTTTAAGCTTAAGACTGACTTTTATTTCATAAGACTCATTAATCCTTTCAAATCACTTATTTACCATCTGATATATTATGTTACAGGAAACTAATGATCCTTTTCCTCAGTCACATAATTAGTTCATCATTTAGTTTATATCTGGTAAATATTTTCTGGATTTAATATTAAATTCAGATGAACTAATATAGAAAACTATATTCTAATTCTCAAAAGTACTGATCTAAGTAAGGTGATAAAACAATTTTAAATTTTTAGGTAAATCTCATTTAAATCAAGTGGATATAAAAATGCAATGGTAAAATACAATTTTAATAACCTTAGTCTACATTAAAAAGCAATGGAAAAACAAAACACCTGAATATTTCCAACTAAAGAAAAATACTAAACCTCAATCTCAGTTATAAAGGCAAATGCAATTTCTTTCATTAATTACTTAGATAACAATTCAATCAATTATTTTACACAAGACCATATAGTGTAAATACATTGCTAAACTATCTCAAGTTATATTATCATCAGATCAAATTAATAAAACCTGTTTTGATATAATTTTTCTATATATTATTTATAGTGTTAAGTGTTCCATTTTATTTTAAATATATTTTTATTGATTTCAGAGAGTAAAAGAGAGAGAGAGAATGAAACATCAATGATGAGAGAGAATTGCTGATCGGCTGCCTCCAGCACACCTCACACTGGGGATTGAGCCCACAACCTGGGCATGTGCTCTGACTGGATTTGAAGCCGGGACCCTTCAGTTCACAGGTCGATGCTCTACCCACTGAGCCAAACCCGTCAGGGCCCATCTTATTTTATTGATAAATGTTTGAAAGTAGCAGCAGAGAATAATAAACCCTTGAAAATGAAAGAGAAATAGGTACTTTATAATACTTGCCTACTCAGATACAAAGAGAAGTGCTATTTTACTGGCTGCTTTCATGGAAGCAAAATAGATGAATGATGCTTATTAGTATACTTTTCAAGTTTTATAATGTGGATGCCTAAAGTGAAGCAAGTCCTAATTATAAGATGTAAAACCTAATAATACCACCATCCATTCCATTTAGTGTTATCTGGATTCAGCCTAGCTAGTATTTTCTACTATAATTTATAAATGTCTTGGCTTTTGGAAAGCAGATACAAATGTTAAGTTCAGGATTAAGTCTCAATGTAGAACAGTCTTTGTTTTTCTGTATAGATATTGAAGTTCACAAAAATGGCATAAACTAAAAAGCCATCTTATTATTTTTTTTATGATAAAGAACAAAGAATCTCTAAGAAGGTATGAACAGTTATAGATGTACATGTAAAGGTTATTAGCTGTTCAACTGCTGAATCTGTGCATTATAGAAAGCAAGGTTATAGGGGCCTTTGAAAGAAATGACCAGTTATGAAAGTTTAAGTTGTTTGACTAAAATGCATACAAAATAATGCCTGCAGAATATATGATATTTCATTTGGTATAGTAATATGTGGTAATGCTTTAATAAGACAATTTTATTGGGTATGACTTTTTAAAAATATTTTGTAACTTCTTTTAAAAACTGTGGACTCTAATGTATGCAACCCTACATAATAAAAAGCTAATATGCAAATCAACCAAACGGTGGAACGACCGGTCGCTATGAAACACACTGACCACCAGGGGGCAGATGCTCAACATAGGAGCTGCCCCTGGCGGCCAGTACATTCTCATAGGAGGAGCACCGTTCAGCCAGAAGCTGGGCTCACGGCTGTTGAGAGCAGCGGTGGTGGTGGGAGCCTCTCCTGCCTCCGCAGCAGCACTAAGGATGTCCAACTAATGGCTTAGGCCTGCTCTCCAGGGGACTGGCCTAAGCCATCAGTTGGACATCCCCCAAGGGCTCCCGGACTGCAAGAGGGTGCAGGCCAGCTGAGGGACCCTCCCCCCACATGCACGAATCTCATGCACCGGGCCTCTAGTTTCATTATAAAATAATTGTTTTCTTCCTTTTCTCTGCTCAGCATATTGGCCTTAAAACACTTACAGAGAACATAGATATTCAAATACAGATGGCCATCACTAAGAAAATTCTTCATTTGTTACAGAAGCATTTTATATTGGATAAATTCCTAAACAGGACTAAGTAAAAAACATAAGTTATAAGAATATATAAGAATTTTTATATATATAAAGTATCATTAAATAAAATAATATTATTTTTAAATGAATATTTTGAAGTTAATATTTTTATACTATGGCTATGTAAGAAAGAACATGGCATATATGTGTGTGTTTAGAGAGGGCCTGGATGCAACGAGATTCCTTTAATGTACAGATGGACGTTTATATGGATTTTAGTAAAGACCAGAACATAATGGTAACATGAATAACAGATAATAGCATCTGGCACTTTTAACATTTTAAGCCCTGGAATCGTTGGAGAACTGACAGTTGAATGAAACTGACAGCCGTAGTTATTTCTCAGCACTTTCCTTCTGAGATATTTTGAGTTTTTTCCAGATTCAGGAATTTTTTAGGGGGCATCTGGACAGGCTATTTCACTGAGAGAGACAGACAATATTTTCTGAAAATTGCCACCAAAATTAAGCAACTGTTGTGCATATGAACTAGATAACAATGAATTAGAAATAATCGCTCAATTTCTGGTTGCCTGTGTGTAGATGTATTTGTGTCATGTGCGGTGGGGGGGTGGGGAGGTGATGGAGGTGGCAACAGGAAGGATGGGGGTATGAGAGCAGGAACAGACCACAAGGCAGTCTTCAGTATATCATTGGGCCATGTGCAGCCATGCCAGTAAAGCTCATTGAAAATGACAAGCGTGGACCAGACCCTGTAACTTGTGTGGTCACATCCTATAGTTCTGAATCCTGCTATTCTGAGAAGTGCTGTAGACCACGGTTGCCTCCACCAACCTTGCCACATACTGTTTCTTCATTATTCTCTTTTTTCTTTCCTTTCTAATTTTTTTCAATATTCCCTAGTTGTCTCCATTTTTTTTTTTGGTGTATTTTTTTTCTTTTGTTTCTCTCTATTTTCTCTCTTCTCCCTTTTCTTCACGTTAGGGAAGCCCAGCCCATTACTTAATTCTGCATGACCAAGGATCAACACCTGCCCCTCCTTGAGCTTCAATTTTCTCCTCTAAAAACATTGATAATAACCCTGCTTCTCAGTATACAGATCTCAGTATAAAGATCCCTTTATTTTTACTGAACATGGTATCCCTCTGATGCCTTCCCAAGGAGGACATTGAATGCAATCTACTTTTTCAAAATAATACCTATTAAGTATCTCACTTCTCATTTTCAAGATTCAGGACAGGATGTGAACAATACCCTCTATTAGTTGATTACCTTGTCACAGGTGAAGGAACAAAGAACATGTGCAGCCATGCCAGTAAAGCTCATTGAAAGGGGAGAACGTGTGCTGGGGGCTAAGGTGATCTAGAGCACTCTTTCTCCTGCCCGTCTCCACTGGCTGTAGCTCCCCCAAGCAGTGGGTCACCCATGTCAGATAACTGCGGTGATAAGCATGAAGCTTAAAAACTGTTTTGTCAACTCAAACCTAGGCAAGCACTTTGACTCTAAAAACTCACTTAGCATCTTCAAATTCCTTTTTGTTCTTCTTTTATATATATATATATAAATTTTATTGATATTTTACAGAGAGGAAGGGAGAGCGATAGAGAGTTAGAAACATCGATGAGAGAGAAACATCGACCAGCTGCCTCCTGCACACCCCCGTCTGGGGATGTGCCCGCAACCAAGGTATATGCCCTTGACCGGAATCGAACCTGGGACCCTTCAGTTTGCAGGCGGACACTCTATCCACTGAGCCAAACCAGTCAGGGCCCTTTTTGTTCTTCTTAATGACATTGAATCTCCACATACTTTCTAAATTCCAGATTTTAGATTATTTAGGTTGCAAACTGTAGAAGTAAAAGTCTGTACTATCAGACCTGGAGTAAATAAGCCATTCGAAAAGAGCAAGAATCTAAACAAATCCATTTTTCCCCATGAATTTGCCAGAAAATAAAACATGCTCACATATACTAGTATATATAAGCATTCGATAAGAACATATTCCTATTGAATTATAAAAGCTGCCAAGGTGAATCCATATTTTGGGGGAATTATGCAAAAAATGAGCTTGGAAAGTAAACATAAACTATTTGTTATAAGATCTCACTCTCTGGCTGAGTGATAAAAGTATAGCCAAGGAGGTCCCTTAGGCACTAATTAGACCCCCAAATGGGAGGAATTTCTCAGCATATTAAAGGTACAGTGTTGGCATTGTTGCGGAGGGCACAGAATTATAACCAATGTCCAACACAAGACCCTAAATGGACGTGAGAGCCCACTTGTCTGACATGTGCTTCATTAACTCAGGACTGGATCCATTTGTCTGACTCTGTGCGAATAGAAGGATGTCCGGCGAACACTGACCATGGCCCATTACAGCACGGTCTCAGGGATGAGGCCAGAAAGCCTGAATCGCCCCTGCACATGGCCTTGAGACACTTGCACACATGGTGGGCTTTATCCCAGCAGGATTCATCCAAGAATTAGAACGCAGTTATGCTGACTTAGCAAAGCACTGTCCTTCATGTGACATACAACTTTTACTGAACCCCCAGCAACAGATCTTATGACGTGGACTAGGATTCCCATTATGGCGGGGGTGGGACAGGCCACAATCCCATCAGCAATCGACTGGCTGGAGACTCAGAAGACTGGGGAATTGGAGGGTACCCCCTCTTTTCTAAAGCTGACTTGTATGAAGTGGGATTGAATCAACAATCTTGATCTCATCATGACTATGCTTGATCAGTTAATAGGAGTTTCAGCAGATTTCTGGGTTATAAAAATAGACAGGAGCCTGAAGTGGCAGGGTAGGGGGTGGGTGGAATGTGGTGGGAGGAAGGAACACACGTTTGTCAGTTTGTGGTCAACGCTCACGGTAAACCAGCTTTTTATACTTTGTATGTGTCAGTTTTCTATTTATTAAAGTCAAATATATATTATTATTATTAAGAAACTGTTCTTCTAAAATACAGTTAGGATAGACGAACTAAGACCATCCCTCAACACTCTAGATACGTTTTTAAAAGGCAGGCATAATAGAGTGACTCCGTCCAGCATGACAGAATCTCATCGGAAGCAGCTGCTGTATCAATTCCCCTCTCCACTCCCGGGATGCTGAGTGTGCTGGTGACACAGAGCGTGCCTTGGGTCCTCGGGACTCCCAGGAACCCATCCCCAGCCATGACACATAGGGTTGGCCTTTCCTTTCTACTTGGTGTGCCTGCTCCTGCTCCATTTATCAGCGGGATGTGTTATGTCAGTCCTCCAGCTAGATAGAGCACATATGTGGTGGGAGAATGGTACTGGGCCCACCTTACTGACTGGACATAGAGATAATACTGCCAGTGAACATGTGCTTCAGGGAGGAAGGGAGAGAAGGAGAGAGGGAGGGAGGGAGCGGGAGGAGAGAGGGAGAGGGGGAGGGAGGGAGGCAGGGAGGGAAGGAAGGAGAGAGGGAGGAACAGGAGGGAGGGAGGGAGAGGAGGAGAGAGGGTAGAGAGGGATTGCAAGCAACCCCATCTGAGATCACTACTGTTTATGTTGACTTATGCTCTGAGATGTTCAAGCATATGCTAAAATGAAATTACTCTTCCCCTAAAGTCTCTGGACTTCAAAAACCTGAAAAAGGTGGTGCACACTTCCAAAGAGAATGGCTACTTCAGTTCTTTAAACATGTAAACGCAAGTATCTATAACTTTCCCGACAAACAAGCAAACGAGAATCGCTTACTGTAGCAATTAGGGTCACATTTGCAGTGATGTAGAGTCTAAACCACAGAGGGGTCCGGCCATGAATTCTTTTGAACGACACTAAGTCATGCTAATTAGGCCAAGCCAGGTGGCTCAGACGAGGGAGATGAAGGCTACAGGAACTCCTGCACAATCTCGACATCTGGCTTGCAGGAGTAAAAGCGCCTCTAAGATAACCAAGTACCTGAATGCATCTTCTTGACTTTGGGATTGAGACAACTCAGTCGCCCAGCATGTGACCCAATGACTCCATACAGCTGTCCCTCGGGGTCTTCAGGTATTGGTTCTAGGACCCCCTCAAATACCAAAATCCATGGACACTTGAGGTATTTGCATGTAACCTACACACATCCTCCTGTATACTTCAAAGCATCTCTAGATGACTTATCATACCTTACACAATTTAAGTGCAATGGACATAGTGGTGATACTATATTGTTTAGGGACTAACAACAAGGAAAAAATGTCTCTATGTGCTCAGCGCACATTCAATCATTGGTTTAACTACATAGCACATGTCAGCAACAACGTAACTTTTTTCTGAATATTTTCCATCTGGAGTTGGGTGACTCTGCAAGGCGGACTGCACATAGTGTTGCTAACACAGCTCCTTCACAAAACCAAGGAAATACATTTGACACAACTCCTATTTGTCCCTGAATTGGTTTTATCTTCTATTTTCTGGCTCAGAAAGAACTCATAATACAGGCGGCTGTATCTGAAGGCATAGGTAATATAATCTCTCGCCCAGTTCACACAATTGTAGCCATAATGGAGATAAAATTCACAATAGCCCTAGCTGGTTTGGCTCCGGGGATAGAGCATCGGCCTGTGGACTGAAGGGTCTCAGGTTCGAATTCGGTCAAGGGCACATACCTGGTGGCAGGCTCCATCCCCAATGTGGGAGGCAACCAATCGATGTGTCTCTCTCAAATTGATGTTTCTCTCTCCCTCGCCCTTCCACTCTCTCAAAATCAATGGAAAAATATCCTCACGTGATGATTAACAAAACAAAAAAAATATTATTTTAGGCAAGTAACAGGAAAAGTTGGATTTATTTATAAATTTCCTCTGAAATTCTAAGTTAACACTCTACCAGAATCTAAAACAAGGTACAGAATGATGTATCATCTAAACAGGACTGTGAAAAATAACTTAGGAGGGAAAAAAGCCAGTAATACCCTTCCATCCTGCCCTTCAATCTTAGACTTATGGACACACTGAAGCAATACCTCTTTCTCCTCCTCTGTCTTCCCGTGAGCTTTGCTATAGTTGATAGGCGCATCCCAGCCCTCTTGGACACACAGAGCCTGGTAGAACGCTGCATTGACCAAAATGCTGCTTGTTTTGAATGGGGAAGAGGAAGGAGTGGGAATAGACGTGTTCGAGGAAGTTAGGGGTGCCGCTTTGTCTGGGGGTCGATTTTTTTTCATGCTCAAGTCCAATGTGCCATTTTCATCCACTTCTATCTCGGCTCCCTGGTGTACATAGGAAACAAACAAACAAAAAAAAACCAACATTTAAGCAGTTTGCTGTTATAGCTGAGCCATGTGGGGCTTTTAAGGGATCATTTTAAATGCAAGCTTTTATGTAAGTATATCTGATGTTAAACCTCGCTTTCTGACTTGCTTTGGTTAATGTTCGATTCTTAGGCAGACTTTTCAGAGCAGCCCCATTAGTGAGCTTCATGTTTCTGGGCTTAAACAAAGTAAGGCTAATAGAAATAAGAGGTTCCAAATACTAAATGTATTGGCTAAACCGGTCAGGTGTTTTTTAAAGTTTAGCTTTAAATCTTCTTTCCTCGTTTGCAGAATTCTCACTCGCAATCCATCATTGAAGGCATTAACACTTGCCTTTATAAAAAGGTACAACAGTATTCCTCCCTCCAACCCCCAAATCACAATATTAGCCTAACATGAGAAAAGTCGAAAAATAGCCAGGCCGGAAGAGAATTCTTATTGGAATACTAGATTGACATGAAAGTAACATTTTACCTGTGTTACTTGAACCGGAAAAGCTTTGTTAAATTGAGGGGAGGCAGCCTGGGGGAGGCAGATGTGCAAACCATGATTCACTCATGGTTTTGGGTAGCAGCTGCCAGGATGGCCGCTCACGGTTTAAGTTCTACAGTAAAATCTTCAGAAGAAAGGTGATACTTAGTAAAAGACTTAAAACTACCCTCCTCACAGCATTTCTTGTGGGGACACCTTTGGCTAAGGTTTTCTTGTTTTGTGTTTGAGGCCCAATGCCCGTGTGTCTGCGTGTTCTGCAAGGTGCCTGCTCAGATGGGCTTTTCACGGCATCATCAGTCAGGAGCACTGCCAGATGCTGGGAAGAACACGCTTGTCATGTTCCTAAGCGGGTCACATGAGTCTCTTTCTGGCGTTCTCGCCATCATCCGTCAATTCACGTTTAACTTTTGAACGACTTCTCTACTCTTTGTCCTTCAGGCTGGCAAAGCAGGAGGCGTCCTTGAATATGTGACAGAATCCCTGACGTGTGTGGTACCCAGTTACGTCCCCGAGGATTTACTCGAACTCCCCATTTTCACTGCCTTCACCTCCCCGACAGCTGCCACTCAGGTGTGGGCCACACACAGTAGCTGGGCTCACTGCTTGCCCCTGATATAGAAAATGAAGCCGGCCGGCCTGGCTCAGTGGCTGAGCGCTGATCTATGAACCAGGAGGTCACAGTTAATTCTGGGTCAGGGCACACACCGGGGTGGTGGGCTCTGTCCCCAGTGGGGGGCCTGCAGGAGGCAGCCCATCAATGATTCTCTTTCATCATCGTTGGTGTTCCTATCTCTTTCTACCTCTCCCTTCCTCTCTGAAATCAATAAAAATATATTTTAAAATCACCTCTTCTGTCTGTTTGTTCTACCTGTAAAGTTCCTATCTTCAGGCTCTTGGTCTATGAGACAGATATGCTTCATTGTATGTGTGGGAGGTAAATACACTTCTAATATGTTTGTACTAAGACGCTTTGGCCATATCTTTCTGTCCTTTTTAGTAAATAGTTTAATCTCCTGTGATAGTTTTAAGCCCTGAATTTGACAGTACAGCTTATCCGGGATAATAACTTAGTAACCACAACATCTTACGCCATCTGTATAACATCAAATACACTTTTCTACCAGCATTAATAAACCTTAGTTACAAAAACCCAAGATATTAACCATATCAGTGCCATGTGCTCTCTCCATGATATAACAATGCATTCTGTCATGAGCATATCAAGGCAATTATTGGCTTCATAGCTGCTATGTAACTACAGCAATAAAACAGATCTATAGTAATCAAGTTTAATAACCAATGTAAAGTGCTAAATGCCATAGTTGCTGGCATTTTTTCATTAAAAAAAAAAAAACTTGGGTTAAGACTGCACAGCTAACATTCACATAAAATTCCAGACCTCTGTGACAGATGGCTTAGGGAAAGGGAGCCATGTGCCTGGGCTGCAGAGTTTTATAGTACAAAACCCACAAATAGTGCAGATTTGAGCTCACTGAAAAATATCAATTATCCCAAGGCAACGCTAATATGTATTTTGATTTTCACAGGGGGGAAAAAAGTTCCAAATAGTACATTTTTCAAAAATAGAGTTGTTGTGAGTATACATCTTGAGTAATCGTGTGCTGATTGAAAAAAAAAATATCACTCCTAATGTTTAAAAGAGGCACTTTCCCGCAGCCCAGGCTCCAGCCGGCTGCTCTGAACACCTGACTTGCCTGGGAGAGAGCACGTTCGGGCACCAGGGTACAGATGGGCTTTAAGTGAGCGCACAGATGCATTCAACAATTACACACAGTCCCGGGGAAGGGACCCTTTCTGCCCATCGATGGGTGGATCTCACGTTCACGGCACGGGGTTTTATTCAGAGCTGTGTCTATGGACATCACTTCTCTCAGTCTGGAACTCCAAATGGCAGGATGAGAGTGGGGAGGAGTTTGAGGGGGGCGGGCGGCTGGAGGAGGAGAAAATAGTCCTTCAGCCACTATAGAGCCCCACCCAGACTCCTAATATTCTCATTTCTCAAAGTGCTCGTTGGGATCTTTAACTTTAAATTTTAAGTTTTCTTGAGGGTAGGCATAAGTCTGTCACTAATGTACTTTCCAATTTGGGAGCATGTCAAACACCATCTTATCCATTTCAGCCACTTTCAAGTTAAAGATGTTACCTACGATTCATTTATTCATTCATTGAGTTGCTGATAAAGCATTGACTATTTTTAAACTACTCTATTTGGGGGGAAAGAAAATTGAAAAAATACATTGTTCCTGACTCCGAGGAGCTTGTTTTATGTGTATAAGAAATTTGTAGTAAAAGGTGATTTAATAAATGTTATAAATTATTAAACTGAAAATTGAGATAATTATTCATTGTAATTGTTATCTGCGCTATAAAATAAGAAGTGTCTCAGTTGTACACCAACAGAGAAATGATTACTGAAATTATGCTGCATCTATTTAATGACACATTATGCAACCTGTAAAATAATAATTATGAGGACTTCGTAGCATGGAAAAGACTTATCACCTACCACCGAAAGCAGGAAACAGCCTGGCATTTCTACTCTGCTTACAAGTAGGAAAAAAATAAATAGAAATTTGTCTCCAGAGGAACAAAAAAGAAAACTGCATAAAGTATGGCCCTTCTATTTAGAGGATGGACTTGTGGCTACTCCCTCCAATATTTTCCAGGCACATGAAAATAGTGCATTGTTTCAACAATTAAAAATGTTTTCATACATTAATGATGATGATACAGTTAAAGGAGCAAAATCATAGTTTTTACTTTAAATGTTCTGATTATAAAATTATTAATATTCAAAATATTGGTAGGATAAGCCATTGTTTTCCATATTTGGAAAAATTTTCTCTTAATACTAGGTAGGTCTCCCATCACCTTTTCCTTTCTGACTTGGCTAAAAGGGCGGGCAAAATGAAGTGTCCCTCAGCTTAGGTTTCTGTGGGAGTTAGCCCCTCCCTCATTTTCATCTCTTGTGTTCTTTCACGCTAGCTTCAGGGTGTTTGGGAGTATCTTTTCATGATTGGAAGCTATCTGAAATCTGTTTTCAAAGCAGGCAGATTATTAAAAATAAGGGGGAAAAATAAATATCTAGGGCGGGGGGAGGGGAGCAAAAAAAAGAAAATAAATAAATAAATATCTAATTCTTATTAAATAGTAATTGAGTATTAAAACTCCTAAATTAAGAGTATAAACTAGTGAAATGTACTCAATATAAATAGAATGGTGGAATTCAGAGGAAAAATAAGTGTCTGCCATAGGGTATAAAATTAAAATGATATTTTCCCCAAGTCTTTGTCTGAAAAGTATAAGAAATTAAAATGGAATTCCCCAAAAATCGTTATCTGGGACTTGGAATCATAGTCAGTGGAAATTGTTGGTGGGCCAGCAGTCTGAATACCACACAATGACAAGCTCTCTAAAAAGATGAGACGTGGAACAGGTGTGAGTTCAAATGGCAGCTCCAACATTCATGGCTGTGCCCCTAGGAGAAAATTATTTAATATCTCTGCACCACTGCTGCTTCATCAGCAAAATGAGATATCTGCTTTATGGAATTTCTAGAAAGATTAAACAGGATTAATGTGGGCAAAGTGCTAGCTTATAGTGCCTGGTACATAATAGGTATTCAATGAATGACAAGTAATCCTATATAATAAAAGGCTAATATGCAATTGTTCCCTCAACCGGGAGTTTGACTGGGAGTTCGACCTGGAGTTCAACCAGGGGGCAGGGCCGACCAGCCAACCGCCCACGGCCCCTCTTCCTGGCTGGCCCTGCCCCCAATCAGCACCTCCGACCCCTCCTTCCTGCCAGCCTGGCCCAATCAGCCTCGATCGGGGCAGGCCAGCCGGACCCCTCCCATGCACAAATTCATGCACTGGGCCTCTAGTAATAATAATAATTTGGGTTTTTGAATACCAAAAGAGACATGTTTCTATGCTACTGTGCACAGAGGTACAGTGCCAGTTATTAAATATCTATTTTACCTACACGTGTATTAACAGGCTCCTTGGAATCCTTGACCTGAGTCCCTTATAGCATTTCACACACAGTGCATGGTGTAAAGTTACTGAAAAGGCCGCTTTCCGATTCTAAGCACCCTGAGAGCTGCCAGGCTATTTCTGATATCAGGCAGCAAGAATGGCGATGTGCTATCATGTTGTTTCTCGGCCTTGTTCAAGCACAAAACAGACTTTGAACTTTAAACATTTCAAGCAAGTGTCAATTTTTTGTTTTCTTTCAAGGCACACTGTGCATATGCCACTTTGTCTAAACAGGTGGGGGAGACACCAAAACAAACAACAGAACGCTTGGCAAGCAGCAGGGACCGGGATAAAGATAGACTGTGGAGCGTGTTCCTACCTCTGCTGGTGAGGGTGGGAGGGAGGAAGAAAAATGGGGAGCGTCTCTGACACGTGCTGGCACAGGCTGTTTCGGGGCAGGAGGAAAGCACTCAGCAAACTCCACACGCCCGGGATGCTCACCCCATGCCTGCTGCCCATTTGACTGAATTCTCCGCTAGTATCAGTAGCAACAGTCACCAGACTAAAGGGAGAGTGTCTGAGGCTGTGGTCCGTGTGTGCTTTACAAACTCATATAAATTCCAAATTAAAACAGAGGACATTACATAAATTTTAGAACAAATGTAAGTACTAGAATCAAAAGAGGGCTCAGACCTCACACAAAATTCCCTCTCACGATGATGCTATCCACTAACTATTGATACTATTTTTTCTCTTGACTTGATTCTTCAAAGAGATACTTAAAACATATACGGGTGATTTTTGGCAGGGTGGATGTGTTGCCTTCATGCCAGGTTGTATTTTAATGAATAATCCCTTTAAAAGTTATCTTCAGATGCAATGGACTTGAGTTTGGGCAGGGGTGTTAGTACTGATATCCTCAGCGCAGTGTTGGGAAGGGGCTGATGAAGACAGTGTCCCAGTGTTGGGTAGAGAGCTGCTCGGGGCTGAGGAACCTCAGAAAGAGAAGAGCGTTTTAGAATATCCATAACGCCCAATCTTCATTGCTTTTAGTGTTAAGAACTCAAAGCTCTCCTGCCACTCTGAAAACAGGCTCTGCTTCTATCTTCCACTGGAGTAGGGATGTTGCAAATCAAGAATCCAGATCTCCCACTCAACTTGGAATCGGTTGAGAGCTTGCCAATAGCATGAAAAACAAAATCTATATTCGCCTCAACAGGTGAATAGTTAGGCAATGTCAAGGTTCCTGTCCTTAGGCTTGATGTTAAGAAGGTTGTGCCTGGGTGACATCATGATCTATAATTTTGTTCTCTCATTGGGCGCTTTCAGTGACGTCAGAGCAGCTGCTGATGTAAAAGAAAGGACTGGATGGAGGCAGAAGGAAAATGAGAAATCAGCTCCTGCCCAAGTTCTGATCAAATTCTCTGCAAAGCCACCCATCCTCATGTGGACACGAGGACCATGGCCACTGAAAACCTAGCCCTCTGCCTGGGACAACCACTGTGCCTGCTGTGTCTGTAAGCTTCTGGAAGGCAGGGCCTGTGATGGGATCTAACCTGGGCCTGAGCAGTCCAGCACTTCAACACCTTTGGTCCATACAGTTAAGAGTCCATCTGCCAAAATGTCTCTCTAGTACAGCGGTTCTCAACCTTCCTCATTCCGTGACCCTTTAATACAATTCCTCATGGTGTGGTGACCCCCAACCATAAAATTGTTTTCATTGCTACTTCATCACTGTAATTTTGCTACTGTTATGTATCGTCATGTAAATATCTGATATGCAGGATGTATTTTCACTATTACAAACTGAACATAATTAAAGCATAGTGATTAATCACAAAAACAATATGTAATTATATATGTGTTTTCCGATGGTCTTAGGCAACCCCTGTGAAAGGGTTGTTCGACCCCCAAAGGGGTCGCGACCCACAGGTTGAGAACCGCTGCTCTAGTACATCAAAAATGCTTGGCTCTAGAAGTCAAGAGTAAGGGAAAGCTTCCTATGTCCGCATCCTTGGTTCCGAACAGGGAACGCAAGAGATCTACGGCTGTTTCCCATCCGACATAAACATGCTCACAGCCTGCCATGGGGGGAAAACAAAGCTAGTGGAAAGAGAGTCAGCCTGGTCCGCAGCGTGGCGGGGACGACTGTTCATCCAACGTTAAGCAAAAGGCACAGAGCAAAGTGCAATGCTGACAATACACATGGCCCACAATGGGCACTGTGTCAGAGGCCATTTTCAGGGTTAATTACTTTGGCTTTCTCTCTCTCTCTCTCTCTCTCTCTCTCTCTCTCTCGCTATTTTATTTTTTGCTACAAAAATTATGTTTTGTGGTTTTAGGCATTTATGAGGTTCTCTTCTTTATTCAGAAAACAGGATCCAATAAGGACAGAATTCTACCAATGACTACAGTTGTGTGCAAATGTGTGCCTGGGGGAAGGATTCCTTACTAAGTGACACTTTGGAAGGGCCATCTTTAGCCTGTTTTAACGACCACTGTGCCAAACGAGGTCACTTTCATGGGGGAATGGGTTAGAAAGCTTCCAGAACAGCAGGCTCCTTCTAAAAGTCCATCTCTGCCCTTCCCGTCTCTCCCGTCTTCATCATCGCGTCGCAGATTTGGCTTCCGCAGTGAAGGCTGGGCTGGCAGCTGGGAGGCCGAGACCAGCAGTGAGCCCCTGTCCCCTGGGCGGGCGCATCTGCCCACGGGGGACACTGGCACTCAGCGCGCCCAGTGCGAGCAGGGGAGCATACACAGGAAGTCGGTCATTTGCATTTTTGAAATAAACCAATTTAACAGTCACTTTTCTGACCGGAAAAAAAAATGTGTTTTAAAAAGAGAACATATATTGATAAGGGAAAATGCTCTCAGATTTTAGTCATCTTTGTTTGATTCATTGTTTGGCTTCATCAATTAATAGAACACAGGAGTGTATTAATTAAGGTTAAAGTCAGAATTCTGAGGAACAAAAAAAATATCTGCATGTGCACATGGAGAGCATTCGACCTAGAATCTTCTACCCAAGTGATTTAGCAGCACTAATCATTATAATATTGGCCCTTTATTTTCATAGAACAGCCTATACAAAGAAATAATAGAGCACTAAGAAGGACAATAGTTCAGTATTTCTCCAACTACCTGCATATTGAAAAAGGAAAAAAAAATTCAGATTTAAAAATAAATTTTAAAGTAACAAAAGTTGCATTTTGAAGTACCCTAGATCATTTATTTAAGTAAATAATTTCTGACTTGGTGGCCTTTGAATTTGGATAACTTGGCATTTTCTTTATATTTTCAGAGGATGTATTTTTCTTTGTTTAAGAATCTCATTTGTTTAAAAATTGTTTTTGAGTGATTCTTGGCCACCAACTCTTCCTGGGGCTTACTTGGCTCAGATCTGTCCAGAAGCTAATTCCGATTCTTCTGTCAAATGCTCCGTAGCGCCGCGTTCCCGCTCTCCTGGAGGCCTGGCAGGCACAGGTGAGCAGCTGACCACACTGGGGATGGGGCTGCGCTTAATTGGCAAAGAGACCACAATATCCTTCGATCGCCTGAATCTTGGGGTTAGCGTTTAACCCAAGGCTCTTTCACTGAAAGGAGGAGTAAAATCTCTTCTCCAAATAAGCCCACACGCTATTTCGGTTGCCTTCTGCCATCTGGGTAGAAACTGGTTTATTTTAAGGGAGGCCTTTGTGTAGGTAGGACTTGCTGGCTCCCGCTGAGGCTGGTGGCAGGCTCAGTCCTGCCCTCCCTCTGGGGAGGATCACTGTGACTCGCAGCCCATCAACCCCTCCTTCTCAAAAGGCAGGACACACAGGGCCTCTGTTTCTTGTTGTCATCGAGGTGTCAGAAACACGCATGTGGACTTCTCGTTGCTGGTTAGAAAGGCGAGGTCATTAGAGAAACAGAATTAACTTCTGGGGCTTCAGAAATGTGGCATCTTCATGCACCTCCTAGAATTAGATTTTGGATTTGGATGCCCTAAGCCAGGGGTGGGGAACCTTTTCCCTACCAAGGGCCATTTGGATATGTATAACATCATTCAAGGGTGATAAAAATTATTAACTTTAAAATTAGCCATCTATATTTGGTTAAGCATGTAAGTAGCTCACCCCTAATGCCTTGCCAAGTCCAGACCAAATGATTTCACGGGCCTTAAATGGCCTGCGTGCCGGACGTCCCCCACCCCTGCCCTAAGCCCTCAAGTCCCCCTGAACTATCTCTTGTGGATTTAATGTGTCCGGGTTTTACTACATGTCCTTTGACAACTACAGCGCCCTGGGCTAGCGATCACATGCAATTACAAAATGCCCTGAGTCAGTTTTGCGAAGGTTTTACGAGTCACTGTTGAATCATACAGTTCCTACCCTCTTTGATTCACAGACAGCAAAAAGCTTCCCTTGTTCAGACTGATTTTAATGGCAACCCTCTTGTCTTGTGTGCCAAACTCCTCAAACAAACAAACAAAAAAACATAACTTTGAAAGCTACACATCTCCCCAACCAGCCTCTATAGCTTACGTCGCCCCCAACTTGGGGGCACCACCTTCCAGAACAGCCCCTCTTTCATGCCTCCTGGAACCGGCCAAGCTCATCCCTGTCACTGTGGCCCCTGACCCTCTTCTTAAGACAAGGAGGGGGTGTGCTTTAGGGGTGGGAGCAGCCGGGCAGTGCACGTGGTTAGGAACATGAAAGGCAGTTCACTCTCAGGGTTCAGTCGCCGCCCCGCCCCCCTAGGCTCTTGGACTGGCCTACCTTGGCATGCAGGCTCTGTGGTTTGTTGGAGAGGATGTCGGCAGCCTCCCTGCAGCGGGTGGAAAGGTTCAGGATGGCAGCAGCTGCTGCTATGTGGGTGTCTTCGCTGCACTGACCGTAGCTGTAAGAGCTGGCACGGCAAGGGCTCTGTGTGTGGGCGCCTGCACCAGGCAGTCCATTAGGAAATTTCCCTGGATTTGAAAAATGCTTCGCTGCTGAAAAGAGATTTGATTAGCAATTGCATGTACGTGGTGCCGGTCATTAAACAGATTTGTTTTAAAGATATAAAACTTCTTGCTTTAAAATATGTGAAGAGTGAATTAAAACACGATCCATTATGCACTGGTACATTCAAGGAAGGTTACTCAGATTGGTTATCACAGAAGTTCACAGATGGTGTGAATGCTGGAGAAAAAAGATGCCTATTCTCTTAATATTTTTTGTATTTATACATCTTATAGCAAAAACTCCACAGCTCATGTTGTGGGGCAGGTGCACTGGCAGCATTCGGGGCAAAGATTGTATATTAAAAACCACTCTAGCTAAAATACATCAGGGCCTACAGAGGGTTAAGGCTTACACATCTGTAAACTGTGTGTGTACGGACCAGTCATTCCAGAAGAGAAAATATATATCCTTTCAATATTTGCTTTCACAATAACAAGTTATATTTAGATATGGAATTGCATTTCTGTTTATTTGACACCCAGGTTTGCTCTGTACTTAAACCAGGAGAAGCTGTTCTTCCTCCAACTAGATGGAACTAACTAGATGGCAGAGTCTTTAATGAGCTGGCATTTTGCATATTCAGGCAGCACACGATGAGCAAAGGACAGAGAAAATGTCCTCAAGGTGAGCAGAAAGGCACTTAGATATCAAGGCAGAGTTTCTGTCGTGAGTTTCTGTTGTGGGTACCAAGGCATTGCTGAGAGAGAGAATTATGCAGATTTCTCTTCACTGGGTGTTTGTAAACATCACTCAAGATTACAGGAGACACACCCAAGATAATGGGGGATTATATTCAAGCATTTAGTTATTCGTTTTGCTGTCAATATTGTTTATTTTAAATGTTTTATCATTATTTTTATAAAACAAAATTTGAAAACTTATCAAATGTTATCCCTACATAAAAATATGAAAATATCACTGAATATTTCACATTTTTAAACCAAGGTTGATATTGTGAGAATACAGATAGCTCTTATTAACTAGCTTTACCAGAATTAAACAGAGATGCATGTGTGCGTGTGTTGCATATTTTTAATGAAACTATATATAACATTGTATAGATAGGTACAAAACATACTCTGTGCATGTGTGTGCGCACGTATGTGTGTGATATTTTTTCCTTAATCTAACAGGTTTTCAGTGCTTGTTTATGGTGTCTGGGACCTATTTTTGGTAAGAATAGGCAAAGCATATTTGGAGTATAAGCTCCTTCTCATTGATAGCAGGCTCACTTCGGGCCTGGTTTTTTACTGTTGGGTTTCATACAGCATCCTAGCCCTTTGACAGAGGAGATCAATATCAGGGAATGAAGCGAAGGTTCTGTGTTGTAGGAGCACTCAGTCTTGGTGAAGAGGTGTGAGATCAAAGGAGTTCACAGAACTGTGGAATGTTGTATATACTTCGTGGTCTATGAAGGACTCAAAGTGGGGAATTAGTTTGCTTCTTCCCTTATGATTAAGTTACTATAATGAAAAAAATCATTCTTGGCTTTATTGCCAATGTCACTTTCTCTCCTTTTCATTAAAATACTCAAAAGACTCTAAAACAACTTGAAAAATAATGTGTTAGGAAAACCATCAAGCTTTATATGTTAGAGCATCGTTGAGTGATGAACACATCTTCCATGTGGATGTGTTAGCGTTAGAGTATTAACACATTTTCAATGTTGCTATCGAAATTCTTAAATTTGTGAGTACATATCTCCATAGCCACATACATTTTTTCCCCAGTAAACTGTGTTCCTTCTTAGACTTTTCACTTGTTCTCCTACTTTCAGTCTGAACACGTTTGCTAATTAAGTAATGTTTTAAGTAGTATTTCAATATTTTACCTATTAAATTTTCAAAATTTCACTCTCAGTCAAATTTACTCTTATAATAGCTATTACCAGTTTCAATATATTAATCCCAATCTCAGCCTAATGTGAACTAAATATTTCTTTAGAAAATTGTATTCAGATTCAATAATAGCACCACATTTTTAGAATAATTAATTCATTCATTAATCACCATATTCAGTGTAAGTTCATATAAAATCAGCAACACTCATCAACGTATCGTTGTTTCTGTTATTTCGATGTGCAATATATTTTCTCTTCTCCCAGCAGTGAGTAGCATATTTAAGTACACCCCCCTCCCGCACCCCAAAACACACACATACACAATACACATTTTTTGGAATAAGCATTAGAATTCAAAGCTTACATTCAGGAAACAGTGCGGTTTTTTGTCCTTGACCTGTTTGTATTAGGGGGCGTTTACCAAAAACCTGTGCATCGAAGCTGGCATAATCAAACGGTACTTTTCCAAATTTCTCTTGTTCTTTTGACACCGTGGCTCTGGGGGAGGCGATGGCTTGTGATCGGAAATTGAATTCTATTTGCTTCACCAAGCTTGTCCTGAAGAGTTTGAAAGAAATATGGTGAAACTCTTGGTGAACACACCAGCCTCAGAATTAAAGCAGATCAGAGGTGGCATGCCTGCGGGTACCCTTAGCGACACTGCACTGCGGGAAAGGCCTGTGGTCACAGCTCTGCACCCGGGGTAAGAGATAGGGAGGCACTTTGGGCTCTGGGTGGCTAAGGGGAGGCTTCATTCTGTGTGTCTGAGTCTCCCATCCGTAAAGGAAAGATGTACAATCTCCCATTCATCCGATGCAGATGCCACCAGGAGCAAGTATTTGATGGATGTTAGCACTTTGCGCCATGTAAAGTGCCGTGTAACTAGTAGCAGGGCACTGACAAGGTGTGCACGTTCTGCTTGCGAGGACTGTCCATCAAATTAGCAGTGCAAAGTAACATAACTAGTGAGGAAAAGCCGTCAGATTCTGATCAGGAGAAGCGATGCTGGCCTCCCTGCCGTGCCCAGCAGAACTGGCAGGAGCCTAGCACCCAAAAGGGCAGCCAAGGCACCGGGAAACGGATCGGATTCCTGGATTGTGAGTTTCTTTTCAGGCTTTTCACCGTTCTTGCTAACTGCAGTCTGAATGTTTTTGCTAATTTACATAATAGTTTAAATAGTATTTCAATATTGTAGCTATTAAATTGCCATCATTTCAATAGGAATCTGAATTACTGTGTTATCACAGCTATCGCAGTTTTCAACAAAATTATCCTAATCTAAGCTAAATGTGAATTAACTATTCCTTTAGAATTATTGTATTTGGATTAAACAAGGGCATCCTATTTATGGAGTACCAGTTCCAGTCAATGAAAACACAAATATTGTTGTGCTATGGTCTAATGATAATGGTAAAAGAATTTAAACAAATATACCTTTCAGAATATATATAGATATAGATGATATAGATATAGATATGTAGATAGATAGATAGATATACATTTATAGATATAGATAGATATACAAGGTGTCCCCCAAAATATGTATATACTTTAACAGCTGGTAACTCACTTAATTTTCACTCTTTTTCAGGTTCAACTGATTTTAAATAATAGGCGAAGCCAGACTAAGCTTTGAACAAAGAAAATTTATCTACTAGACTTTTTTATGGGATACATAAAAGATAAAGTTTACAGTACAAAACTGGCAACAGCTGACAAATCGAGGGTGCACAACACCTGAAGGAAATGACTCCTGATGCTTGTAATTCCAGTGCTGTACATTATCAGCAGTGCCTGGACCAGAACAGTCATCCGTTTGAAAACAGGTGTTGACCAAAAAAAATTATTCATTTCTGTAGATTCTTTTAAATCTTGAAAATGAACTGTATGTTAATAAACACTTACTTTATAATCATTCAAAGTGTGTATACATTTCTGAAGGATTCATATATATATATATGTGTGTGTGTGTGTGTGTGTGTGTGTGTGTGTGTGTGTGTCTCCTACCAAAACATGCCTGACTCATCAGAATGTAAACGTTTTGATGATATTTCCTGGATTTGGTAAAAAAAAAACTTTTTTGCTGAAATATAAAAATATTCTGAGTGATGAATTAATCTTGCTATTGTGTATATAACTTGGTTTATACTCCTAATGTTGCATGTGTTCCAGTCTAAAACAATATTTATTTTTTAAGAAATTAGCAAATTAAAACTTAATGTTATTTCTATATTTAATAAATAACCTACTTAGGGAAAAACTAGAGAATACAGTAATACTAAGAAGCTTGTTATGAAATATTAAATTGCTAGTTATTCAGTAATTCATGTACTTCATTTGACATATATTCTTTTTTTAATATATTTTATTGATTTTTTACAGAGAGGAAGAGAAAGAGATAGAGAGTTAAAAACATCAATGAAAGAGAAGCATCGATCGGCTGCCTCCTCTACACCCACTACTGGGGATATGCCCGCAACCAAGGTACATGCCCTTGACCGTAATCGAACCTGGGACCCTTCAGTCTGCAGGCTGACGCTCTATCCACTGAGCCAAACCTGTTAGGGCTTGACATTTATTCTTCACCCATGGGATTTGAATTCCTATTTTGAATCTTTTAATTAAATCTATAGGATCACATATTAATAGAAGCCAAATCTCAAAAAAATATTCCTACTATGTATTTTGCATTTCAGTGTCTCAGTAACAATGAAGATCTGATCATCTGTTTTCATCCTGAAATGACTTTTCTTAGATATATGATTTTTATATTACTAAATGTATAACATCACATTAAGTGGCATCATATATAGTTTACTACTTAGGTATAAATATTGTCTTCTAAACTACCAGAGATTGTGATGCTCCTAGGACCAATTAGATATATTTTATTAATAGTTATCAACTTACACAATTAAATCTTTGTTTTATAAAAAGCTAAATGTACATGTGGAAGAGAAAGTGAATATATAGCATCACGTAGTTTGAGTGATATGGGTGATTTATGGTGGCATTTTCTCTGGGGAGAAAGGTTAATTCAATCATTAGGAAGACCATAGCTGACCAGTGGAATGGGTTGCCTTTAGTGATGCAAATTTTTGATTAATATATGTTATCATATACTTTAGTTATTTTAGATTCAACCACATTATGTTACCTTTGCATACAGATTAATTTCAAGTGAAACTTCTGGAGGGTCTAGAAGTTCATTTAAGTGACAGTATGATCAACTGGACCGTCCTCTCCAGTGGCTATTGGTAGCTGAGGACAAATGTTGGCCATAGAGAACTAGCACACGAGAGGGGACAGACGCATTGTGTAGGAGCGTGGCATGAATACAGTACCAGGCGTGTCCTGGGAGGGTCATACCTGTGAACCTGGTCAGAACACTGCCCAGTTTGGGAAGAATCAAACTGACTTTTGTCCTGGGACATTGCCAATTTTTCAGCCGCAGCAATTGGACAACCTGAAAGACTGTCAAAAATAAAAAGGTGAGGATTTGAGTTAAAAAAAAAAAAGATAACATAATTTGCTTTGGCAGGTACCTCACATCATACTTCACACACAGTAAATATTAAGTCACATTAATAGTTCACTTAACACAGTAAAGGGGTTTGCAAACTATAGTGTCAACAAATGTCCCTCAACCACATCTCAGAGGTGGTAGATAACAAACTCATATTAAAAATCAAAGTATTACCTAAAGAAGAAATAACTAAATTATCCTGGAACTTCTATAATATTTTAAGTGGACAGTGCTCACTCCAATTGCAGTGTATCCAACTATAGATTTTAGCGTGATAACTCCATGATTTATCTTCGGATCTTTAGGGAAATGTTAGCGACTTCATTGGATATCTGAGTTTAAATAGAATATGAAGGTTTCTGGCAATATGCTTATGAGTCAAATAGTATCTCCAGACCACATAGTCTATATATACATAATACAAAATACACATAAAACAATCAGCATTTTCACCAAAAAATATTTACGTATACACAATACATTTGTATATAAATGCACATATGTGTTTTAAGGTAGATGAGATCTCAATGAGATGAATCTCCATGAAATGTAATAATATTTAGCTTCATCCTAATATATAGTCAAAACCACAGCATATCGAAGCCCTTTGGGTACCTTTTTAATGCTTTTAGAATGGGGTTCAAGATAACTCCTAAGCGATTCTTTTCGATATCAAAACAGCTATGGGTTCAGAGCAAAAGAAAACATGTTCTATTTGGATGACTATATGAATGTGTAATCCTGGTCTTCAAATTTAACATTTGTGTTAGCATAATTGACTGCTAAAAGAACATTTCTAGGAGAGTAAATAGTGAGGTCATTTTTTTTTTAGTCTGCACACATTAAGAATACTTCTTATCTACTTCAAGTGGTCAGGTATCTGATATGGCTGTAGTGATTTGGATAACACATAGCTAGCTTCTTATTTTCTTGATGAAAAGTATCTCTCACTTCTTTCTTGTCATGTAAAAGGTTAGCCACTCATCACCATTACCTCCTGTGGGTGTTCCGGTTGCTGTTCACGTGCCCTCTTCCCGTGCATCCTGGGGTGGGGCACTTGAGCACATTTTCATGCATGGCAAGAACTGAGCACAAAATGTCACATAAAAGGAAAAAATAATATACTATAAGCACATGACACAAGCACAAGATGATTTCTCAAGTTTGCAGTCAAATGAATATAGTTACATAACCCACGCTGCTCCCTCCCAATAGTTATTGGGGTTGAAGCAAATGGGCACTTAAGGATTTCAACGATTAAATTCAGCAAGTCTGAGGTTTTCTAAACTTCATATTATGGTTAATGCTAGACTTACATGAGATGATTCTGCTTATATTTAACTTAAACTGAAAAGCTTATATTCGTCCTTTTATATTTAGACTAGTGGCCCAGTCCATGAAATTCATGCACATTAAGAGGGAATTAAATAGAGGAAATATTTTAATATTGTTATTTTGTTTCCACCTCTCCATCCCAGTCTCTCCCAGTCTCTGTCTCTCTTTGTTTTTCTAGCAGTCCTCCAGGCCTCCCTGCCCCCTTTCTCTTCCTCTTTCCCAGCTGAGAGGGGGCAGGGCCAATGGGGGCAGCTCCATCCTCTGCCTTCCCTGGGGCCTCATTCTAAGAGAGACTCTGAGAGCAAGCTGGGAGGGAGGGAAAGAAAGGGAGAAAAAACTGTGAGCTGGTAGGCGCTGTGTGTGTCTGTGCATGTGTGTGGTTGTGAATGAGTATGAGTGCCAGTCCCTCCTCCCTGAGTCTCGGCTCCACTGCCACAAGCCCCCACCCACCAGAGCCTGCTGCACATGCAGCCTGGGCATTAGTTTGAGCCTTTGGTCATTTTGGGTGTGACAGACCATGGCTCTTTATATATATACTAGAGGCCCGGTGCACAAAAATTTGTGCACTTGGGGGGGAAGGAGGGCTCCCTCAGCCCAGCCTGTGCCCTCTCGCAGTCTGGGACCCCTCAGGGGATGACCACCTGCTGGCTTCGGCCTGCGCCCAGGGGGATTGGACCTAAGATGGCAATCAGACATCCCTCTGGCAGCCCGGCAGCCCTCAGGGGATGTCCACTTGCCAGCGGGGA